GGATATTTAAACATTTTCTTCATTGACTTTCTGGGCCGTCAAGAGGCAGTCCCTTAGGAGCCAATGTGGTAGTTATACAGCTCTCAAATTTAATCAAAAATATCTTCATTTGTGTTCCGAAGACGAACGAAGGTCTTACGGGGTTGGTACAGCATGGGGGTGAGTAATTAATGACTTAATTTTCATTTTTGGGTGAACTAACCCTTTAAGTAACAGTTTTGATGATTCCTACTGAAGGATCTAGTCTTTGCTTCATCTTTTTTTCCCTGGACATGAAGTGGAAACCCAACAAAAATAAAAATAAAAGTGCAGAACATTATAATGTAACATAATTATGTTGCTTTTTCCCACTGTAACCCTACACAACAGACATGCAACCCAATTTTCAGCCATGAATCACCATGAATTCATATGTTTATGGATTAAAGGATCACAAATATTAATCTCCTCAGTTTCTCCCGTCACTTTCCACACATTTAAACAGCCTTTTTTTTCCCAGGGTGTCATAAATAAGAATTGTTTTGGAAGTCAAATAAAGGTGAAATAAATGAAGTCAAATAAACAGCTGAATCACCTTGGGTGTTTCTGTGTAAAGTCACTTTTAGGTGTGCAAACATGATGTTGTCATTGATTGACAGGATATGTGCCAATAGCTTTGATTAAATTTTTTGATTTTACAACATTCAGTTTTCAAGCTCTCCTTAGCTCTGTTTGTAAAGTTTTATCAGATGACTTAAACATCATCATTCAGAGATAATGATCAGCAGGGCCGTGCAGAGACCTCTGGAGGGGCAGGTGCTCAAAGTATAAAATGGGGCACATGGAAACAAGGCTTTATAGGGCTGTGCTCAAAATATCAATACAGTAATATATCAATACAGATGAGTCTGCATCGATACAGCAGCAAATGCATTGATGGAGTTTTGAAAAAGAACCAGAACAGAAAAGACAAATTTAAAGTTTAAAATTAAAAAAAAATAATTGATGTGCTCTATATATAACTCTGGGATTAGAAACTGAAGCATCTTAAGTTGTTCCAACCTGATGGCTTTTTCTTCTCTGTTATACAGAATAATAAAGAACAGCTGTTATAGTGAACTGTGTAGGACAAAATCAACCTGGCCCATGTTTCGTGCAGTACAGTATAGTTTTATTTAATGGCATATCAGCATCTGTGGCTATTTTCATGGCAAAAACTGATTTACAAAAATACAAGAGTTACATTTTATACAATGAAAATAAAAAACAAAGCAAACAGAAACAGCAATTAATACTTTACAAGATTTTTAACATTAATGTGATGCCTGTTTAAAGTGAGTTTGCTGCCTTTGCTGTTGATGTTGTTACTGCTGCTGCTGATACTGCTGGAGTTGATCTGAGACTGTAGACATTAAAATAAACAGAAATATAGGGTATTAGCTGAATAAACCATTTTTTATGTGACCATGTCAAGATGTAAAGATTGCTGACAGTGTTTGGAACTGGCTCACTAGTTCACTGACCTGCTAAAGCTACAGATTCTGCCCAGGCTGCTAAAGTATATAATACAATAATAGTATATAATAGTAACGTTACTAGGGCAGATGTTCACAGAGGCTTCTGCACACAAAACATAAGATGCTAACTGGTAAGCCTATGTGATAACTTACCAGAGTTGTGATAATCATTTTTATGTGAAAATATTTTTTAAATAAATACTGTAATAATAATAATAGTTTAAAGTAAAAATAATAGTTTTTAGTCAAATAACACCCCTCCACGCCCGTGAAACTTTTCTCCCTCAAACAGCAAGCTAACGTTACTTCTACAGCCTACACACAGCAATACAAACGACATCTCTCTGCATGCTCTCTTCACGTCGTTCTAGTAAAATAATAATAATAAGTAAACAAACATCAAAATCACTTCGCTGAGAATAAAACACCACTTACCAGCAGCCGCAAGACTTGAAGATATCCTCTGGGAATGCGCGATTGCGCGTAGCCGCGCGAAATTAAAAAATGCGCGTGCAGCGTGAGGAATCAGGTGAAAGGTCATCATGTGGGTCATTTTATTTACGGCTAAATTATTATTCATTCATTTTACTACTAGTTAGATGGGGCAGGCATCCACAAAAGTGCCTTTAAATACAAAAAAAGGAGAGGAAATTTTGTCTTGACAAAAGGGCACTTTGGGCACCAAGGGGCAAAAGGGCAGGTGCTCGAGCACCCAACGCCCCCCCCTCTGCACGTGCCTGATGATCAGGATCAGGTTCAAACGGGCAAAGAATGATGTCAAGGCCGTCAAATGTAATTCTTCTGATAAATGTGGAGTTTTAAACATCTTGTTGGTGGCTATAAGTCATGCTCAATCCTGTCAGGAAAGGCTTTAATTCACACAATGTGTACACTTGTGTTGACCCTTGGGTTTGTGGGGCCCCACCTGTAAACTGTCACAGGCAATGGCCCCAATTAATTTGCACACACCCCAGTCTGAGGACTTTACATTGTTAGAGGTTTATTTGCTGCTGTAATTCAACCAAACGGTGACAGAATTGTCATGTTTGGGTAAATAGCTCATTTAAAGAAGTCAAGCTGGGTTTTTGGAATAACTCTCTGGTTTTTAACAACATGCAAATGAAAGTTTGCATGCAGATGATTTGATTATTGGATGTTTGCAGTTGCCTGGGCTGTTGTGATTGGTTGATCTGGGTGCGACAGAAGGAGGATTTGGTTCCCAGGCATGAATAGCCGTGCCAGAGCCCTCTGAATAATGGAAACTAGTGAAACTCAATGCAGCACATCAAGAGCGCTTGTTCTCAGAGGGATCTGCCAGTTCTGCATGTGATGCGAGTCTCTCCGAAATACAGGGTTTCTAAGTTACGACCGCAATGGTTTCAAGCCTTAATATGGTCTGCATTTAAAAAAAATGTTGCATTGAAACGGTTTAAGCTCCAGGTTCAAATATACTGTATGTCTCAGGTTTAGTTATATGTCAATAAATGTAAAGGCTGTGCACTGAAAAGCTATAGTATGAAGTGATCGGCATCTGTTCCAAAGGTAAATGACACCTGAAAAGCATACATTTTTAATAATGTCTGTCTCCATATATTGCGTTGGATACTTCGGATCAGGTTAACAAGAAACAAGCTACAGGAAACTAATGTGTCAGGTGAAATTACACAACAAACATTATCATTCTGGTAGCTGGACTCTATGCGCTGGCCCATAGTCATTATGGAGCGCAGGTCAGCGACCCCCTCTTCTGAAAACACACAGAGGTAGAGGTCAACTTTAAACAACTTTTAAGATGTTTGTCTGATCTGTGGCCATTGATAATTTCAAATTAAAAGGGATGAATCTCACTAAAACATGTCCTCGTCACATTTATCCCATAAAAGAAGAAGAGTATGGGAAAAGGGATTTTTAAGATTTTTTTTTTTTTTGTATCGTGACATTATTTTAAAGACATTGTTTACCACAACTTCTCTTTACTGTAAAGTGGAAAAAAAATCCTAATTATTTTATTTACATTGTATCATGATACATTTGTAATACTGTCTTTAATATGATTAAAATAAATCATTTTATTTTAGTAAAATAATTGGTGCAATTTTAGTAGCCTATTATTGCTTATTTGAAATGTTATGATGTGCGTTGCCAGTTTTAGTAATTTATTTTTATATTTCAATTTCAAGTTAATTCACAGAGGTAGGGGTTAACTTTAAACACCCCTCGGTTTGATCAACACTTTCTTTTTTTGCAGATGTTTGTCTGATCTGTGGCAATTGATAATTTCAAATTAAAAGGGATGAATCTCACTAAAACATGTCCTGGTCACATTTATCCCATAAAAGAAGAAGAGTATGGGAAAAGGGACTTTAAGATATATATATTTTTTTTTTTGTATCGTGACATTATTTTAAAGACATTGTTTACCCCAACTTCTCTTTACTGTAAAGTGGAAAAAAAAATCCTTATTATATTTATGATATTTTATTTACATTGTATCATGATACATTTGTTATACTGTCTTTAATATGATTAAAATAAATCATTTTATTTTAGTAAAATAATTGGTGCAATTTTAGAAGCGTATTATTTCTTATTTGAAATGTTATGATGTGCGTTGCCAGTTTTAGTACTTTATTTTTATATTTCAATTTCAAGTTAATTCACAGAGGTAGAGGTCAACTTTAAACACCCCTCGGTTTGATCAACACTTTCTTTTTTTGCAGATGTTTGTCTGATCTGTGACCATTGATAATTTCAAATTAAAAGGGATGAATCATGTCCTGGTCACATTTATCCCATAAAAGAAGAAGAGTATGGGAAAAGGGACTTTTAAGATTTTTTTTTTTTTTTTTTTGTATCGTGACATTATTTTAAAGACATTGTTTACCCCAACTTCTCTTTACTGTAAAGTGAAAAAATCCTAATAATATTTATATTTTATTTACATTGTATCATATTTAGCCTATATATCATGATACATTTGTTATACTGCCTTTAATATGATTAAAATAAATCATTTTATTTTAGTAAAATAATTGGTGCAATTTTAGTAGCCTATTATTTCTTACATGAAATGTTATGATGTGCGTTGCCAGTTTTAGTACTTTATTTTTATATTTCAATTTCAAGTTAATTCTAATTCAGTTTTAGTTTTGATAATTTTAGTATTTCAACTTATATCAGTTGCCAATTAAGGCAACATTTCTTAAGTTTTATTTCAGCTTTATCTCAATTAATAAAAAAAACTCAAAATTATTTTCAATTAGATTCTAAAAGTGAGGAAGAAACTCTCACCTTATCACTTGTTGTTGATGTCACTTCTGCTGCTGTGTGTGTGGATTTACAAATCTGTGATTTACAAAACCAATTTTCTAATAAAGGTACAATGTTAGTGATGTTGGGTCGTCGCTTGATATCCAATGCAAAAGTCCTAAAATGAAACCAGTTGAGAAACACTATGAAAATTTGAGGAAAATGTGCTTAATTATTACTTTCTTTTAATTTCAGGGTGAAAGGCTATAAACTGGGCATGTTCATCTGTCGAGGTTTGTGTTTGTGTATTTAAAACCACATTCATTTTGGGTGTTTTCAAAAAGCAATTATTTAATAGTCTTTTGGATAATAATAACATAAAAAATAGCACAAGATCTGACCTTATTGGTGTCTATATATGTTCAATCCGCAGGGTTAATGTTACACGGCCTGCTCTTCGTAAAGCAGCCAACAATGAAGGCTCAACTAATCGCGGAGCTGCTTGAAATATTCAGTAGGAAACCCACACCTGTTTCCAGGTAACCGATGCTGTGTGTGTGTGTGTGTGTGTGTGTGTTCACCTCTGCAACTGCCCCTGTCGTCTACTTCACAGTGAACTCAAGGACTCGACTAGCAGCCCGAATTTTCTTTTCATTCAAAGTGTCCGCATAAAGACAATGAGGAGAAGCTTGCTGAAAACTGATTGTCTTTCACAGATGGAACAGGAATATTGTTAGAGATTTTGTTCTTAACTCAGGCTGGGTGGCGTAGAAATATCTTGGATTGTTTTTGTGCACATCTGAGGAGTTTTTGAAGGTGTCCGCCATGAATCCCATGTGGAAAGTCTATAAGAGTAAAGTCATGAAGACCCTCAACCCGGATATGGACGAGGAACCGGTGGAAGAGGTAAATCCCAGCAAAACAGCAGAAGGCAATGTGGTGGTCAGATATGAGACATATTTAGGCCTATACATCCAAGATTTGTATAATGAATTTGAATTGCATATAAAATCCAAATTGCATCCTTTTGGATTACAGCGTTTTAACATAAACAAAAAAATTTAATGTGATGCATATTTGTTAGTATGGATGAAATGGGTGAGATTTGTGCACTCAAAAGGAACTATTTGGTTTTATTCACATCATCATATTTTCAAAAGGCATTTGTTCATATTGCTTAGAATGTGTTAACTGTAAAAACAATTTTATTTATTCAGTTAAAAAGTATGAACATGGTTCAAATACGATTAGCTGCTGAACAAGCAATCGATTAGTATGTTACAGAGATTGGATTAAAAGTTTAAAAAGATTACTTAAAAGTTTAGTTGGTTTATGTTAAATATATCCAAACGGTTTGAATTTTTATATGCAATTCAGTTGCATAAATCTTGAGTTTACACTCTTAGAAGAAATGGTTCTATTTAGAACCAGAAATGGTTCCATCCCCCGATTCACATATGGAACTCCAAAATGGTTATATATAGAACCATTTTTTGGGGGTAAAAGATTCTATTGGCCAAGTATGGAACCCCAGGGTTCTATATAGAACCATTTTTTGGGGGTAAAAGGTTCTATTGGCCAAGTATGGAACCCCAGGGTTCTATATAGAACCATTTTTTTGGGGTAAAAGGTTCTATTGGCCAAGTATGGAACCCCAGGGTTCTATATAGAACCATTTTTTGGGGGTAAAAGGTTCTATTGGCCAAGTATGGAACCCAGGGTTCTATATAGAACCATTTTTTTGGGGTAAAAGGTTCTATTGGCCAAGTATGGAACCCCAGGGTTCTATATAGAACCATTTTTTGGGTAAAAGGTTCTATTGGCCAAGTATAGAACCCCAGGGTTCTATGGGGAACCCTTTTTTAAGAGTGTATAGAACCTTTTAGGGGTTCCAAATATGTAGCACTGATAGAACCTTTTAACGTTCTATAACCTTTTCTTCTAAGAGTGTTGGCCTAAATATTTTTGAGTGTGTTTATTTGGCAAATCTTTTAGCAAATATAACAGTTGTTTGTAATGAGCAAGATAAGTGAATGAATCTGAGGGAATGAGGAAAGAACAACTAAATCCAAAGTTTCAACTACCGTACAGTGGCAAATATTTATGCAGTTTTTCAGTGACCAAAGCAGGATTCCCAGTGGTGGATTTATTTTATATACATAATACAATTCTATGATAGGCTACATCAGCCGGTCCAGTATATCAGTCTATTGCTAGTACTGGGCCTCTGAGCATGTGAATGAATATGCATCCACGCTATCAGTGCTCAACGTTAGATTTCTCCCAACTTTACCAAAGAAATAATGTCACAGAATGCCTTAATCAAACACTTTAAATGCATTGAGTGAGATCCATATAAACTAAAATAAATGATCAAGCTATGTTTATTCTTATTTGATTATAGACCGTTTTGTCCTCACTTCCTATAATATATGTTGAGTGGCTCGAGCATGTGTTTTTAAAGCACTAATGAATGCATTTCTGAGTTTCTGGATGCATTCGATTATTTGAAACATTCTTTCAGTATCTGATCAAGGGAAACCTTGCCCCGCTTTTCAAAGGCCCTGTAACGGGATCTGCAGGAGTCAGTGATAGGAATAGGATGGCATTCCAGCGGTTGACCGGAGACGGATAACATATTGGGTGTGTGTTGGACCTGTTGGCAGATTGATTCCCCACAGTTCTCGCCTGTCTGTGAAACCTCTCGCTTACCTGTGTGAACTTGCATCGTTTCCATAGTCTGCTACAACACACAACAATGCCAACAGATTACAACATCGTATTCAAGATGAACATCGGTGCATGCTTTTATTTTCTTTCAGCGCTGACTCTTAAATGCATAAAGTAAATGCATGATGGGAGTTGCTCCAAATTTATAACAGTAATTTAAAATATGTATTGTATTGCATGCTGGATTTCCACTGGTCAAGCAGGAGTTTGATGGTTTTTACAGGGGCAATTTAATAGTTTTACTTTATTTTTATTCATTCTTGCATTAAAGTCGGCTTGGAGTAATAAAGATTATAGGCACATGAATTTAAAAATAAAATAACCATAAATGATTTACAACAAATCCTGCAATATTCCATAAAAAAATAAGAATAGTCAGTTTATTTCATGGTGACTTTAAAAGAACTTCAGAAGTTCATGTATATGTACTGTAAGTGCTGTAATAAGTGGTAATTGCAATTGCTACTTTAAAGAGATTTGATTTAATTAATAAAAATGAGTTTTGTTGGTATAAATCATTGTATTTAGGTGGAGTCAATAATGTTAAGTAACAACTCTAAAAAAAAACAGTTTGTTCAGAGTACAGTGTAATTATGTAAATCACTTTATCCATCATTTGTTTTGACCTCTTACTGACCGTTAAGTCAGCTTTATTAGTGCTTTACAGATGCAGATTTACAGCTCTAAAAGAAAACACGTCATTGTTCAGCTTGTTAGTTCAGTTCCATTGTGAAGATCATTAATTATTAAATGAGCTCATTTTATCTTTAATGCAGTTCTGTAGAAAACACTCTTCAGTTCATATACAACAGAACAGTGTCAGTCAGATCAATAATATTAGAATATTAGTGTCCCCATTATAACTTTGTCTTTGATTAATATGTGAAGGTCAGTGATGCGGCTGAAGATATAATACCTATCCAGACGGATGAAGGACCCAATGCGATGACACAACTGGCCAAGAGAGTAAGTTTTATTGAATACATAAGCACACGTCCACTGCACACTGAGAGTGTGCTTCAAACACAAACGTCATATTTGTCCACTAACATTAAAAAAAAAAAAAATTAGATGAATTAGTGTTTGTCACACTTTTCACAGGACATTTCATGTCAACAGCATATAGACATACTGATGTTTGTTGGTTTGAGTGTGTGAGTGTGTGTGTATTCCTCCTCAGATGCAGGGAGCCGGAGCCAAAGGTTGGAAAAGTGTTTCGTCTCTATTCACCCAGGATGATGAACACCAACTTCTGGAGGCGGAGAACCAGCCGGCAGCAGATCAGTGAGTGTTACGATGATGAAAAGACAAGTTTCAATCAAGGCTCCTAAATTTGTGACAGAATTGATATTTGGACAGAAATTTATTCATTTGTTAAGGCAGAATATATGTACAACTAAATTCAATGGAATTCAATGGCACCCTTTTTGTTAATACTTCAAATTTGGAACATAAGACATATGGCTTTGATTTTATGGTAATTTTAGAGTAAAAAATATTTTGTAAAATATATATTTTATATAAAATAAAAACCATAGAACATGTCAAAAAAATGACTTCACCATAAAATATATATTGTTGGTTTAACTTAAAAAGATGCATTAACATTTTAAGTTCATTGAAATGTAAAAATTGAGTTAATACAATGAAGGAGATTGATTTAATCATCAGAAACTCAAAATATTATGTTATCTGAACCACATAAATTATTAAAGTTGATTTGACAAAAGAAAAAAAAATGTTGTTATAACAAATCTTGAACATATTTTTTTTAATGTGTTGTAATCACTGTAGACTTTGCTTACATGATATCATACATCTCACAAGTTATTTGGGCTAAAACGACATGTAAACAAATTCAAGGTTATTTCGGCTAGAAGTGGGTTATATAGCCGGACGATATCGGGTCTATAGTTGGTGAAATGACAGCTATCGCTTGCTATACTGTTGAAATCATACGCAAAGTTGAAATTATATTTTTGTAGAAAATGTGATACATTTATTTTTCAGGATTCTTTGATGAAAATAATTTATTTTTAACCTTATAAATGCCTTTACTGTCCATTTTGATGTATTAAATGCATCCTCGCTGAATAAAATGACTCAATTTCTTTGAACAATAGTGGTTATATTTCATGCAGAAACCTTAATTTAAACAGAAAGAATGTAATTGCGAGTACACATCCAACGCACATGGCACCCTTTAGCGTCAATATGAGACGCAGATATATATAGGCCAGAAGGCGCCTCCTAGTGGTCTAACCCTACCCGGGTTCTGGACTGGCTGCAGTAACGCGTCTCTGTCCATGCGGGGGCGCTCGCGGTCGACTGCAGAATGAATGGGAGTCAATGGGGTTTCACCCGCAGAAATCCACTTTTCTCAGGATGTAATTTTTTGTCAAGTAATTTGAAAGTTGCATTCAAAAGGATAATACACTCAGCTGAAAATTGCATTTTTAAGTTCACTTATCTGTTCTAAAAATCCGTTCAAAACTGTGATGACGTCACACAATAGCAGAATGCTAGCGTGTTCTGGCCAACAACAGCCTAACCTGTAAGAAATCAAAAGGACATAAGCACTCGTTCATTCGACTTTTGGCCTATTATCTATATTGAACTTGCGGAATCAACAATAAAATCTATTTTGATTTAATGACAAGCAAGTGAAAGAGACACTTTTAGCCGTTTAGCCCCATAGACTCCCATTCATTCTGCTCTCGCCCGCGATCACCTCCAGTGGAATTCTAATGGAACTGCAACCAAGATCATACACGACGGGGCTAATAGGAAGTGCCAAGGCTCTCCGGGGCTCTGGTTATATTGACGCTAAAGGGTGCCATGTGCGTTGGCAAAAGCGTCAGTATATGACGCCTTGGGATGAGAATGCGTTGGAGTTACTAGTATGTTTCCTTTATCGTCCATACAGTCCATTGGCAGTGAAGCCGGAGGAGCCTCCACGACCCAACAAGCGAAACACTGGATTCTGGGATAACTTTTCCACTAAGTGGCATCAGGCAGCTGCGATGAAGCAAGCGGAGGCCGAGGAGGCGGGAGGAGACGGCAGACAAGAGGAGGAGGAGAGCGGGGCGAGAGCTGAAGACGTCGAACACCGAGAGGAGGAGCAGGGAGATGGAGGCGCGGGGAACAGCTTCTCCAAGTACACCACACTCGCAGGAGGGAGTGACGACACACCGGCCTTCAAGTGGAACTTTGTGACCAGCAAACTGGCTGAGCTGAAGACCAAAAGCATGGCCAAGAGCAACTAGCCAACAGTGCTAGAGAACTAGAGAAGGGTTATCACAGTTCAGACCTCAGGGGCCACAGTGCTTCATATGAGCCTTATCGCACAGATGTGATCGCATTTCACCCGTTTAAACGCAGCGACCGTGACCGACACTGTGGCCTCCTCTGGCCTGGACTGGTTGGCATTCGTGTGGGAACTGCCGCTTACGGGAAACTCACACAAACGTCTGTTATTAAAGGTGATGTGTGTCATTTTTTTGTGAAAAAATACTGAAATTGCATGCTTCACCTGTAAAACATCAGGAAATTATGAGAGTTAAGTAGGCTAATAATATCTGGAGCATGTAGATGAACACTTGATGAAAAAAGGTATAGCCCACAAATAAGTTAAAATTAAGCTAATATAACAACTATTTTCTTTTTGTCAAGTGAAATCAGTTCCCTACAAGCACAATAACACACCCATAACTTATTTTTAATAATCATTATTTTTGCAAGCATAAATTACACACTTCACTTAAAAAAGCAACACAGTAAATTGATTTATAGGAATGAGGTATGTACTGTAGCAGGGAATGATGTCATAATGTGCGCAGATTTATTTTCATTAATTTATGTAATAGACATAAATCAATTCCTTACAAGTAGTTGAAGATTAAGCCCAATAATATAAAGCCCATCATCAAGATGAAATGTGATCTGAAAAACCCAGTGGAACAATCTCACCTCAAAAAAAAGAATATAATATATTTTATATAATAATATCGTGTACAACACTTTTTGTGTGTATTTAGCAATGAAATTGATAAAGTTGGGGAATCTCTCATTTAATTTAATTTTATTGGGTGAAGGTTTACAGAATATGTGTCCGGTGTAGTTTATGCAGTGTTCTGTCTGTTTCATAATGTTTCATAACTCCTGAAGTGTGTATTTACACAATATCTCAAAGGTGCTTTGTGTCTGCTGTCTGTTCAAAGTTTGTTCTCACATTGATTGATTGATTTTTTCCTGCTTTGATGTTTTATTTTATGATACAATAAAGTTCTAAAAAAAACATGTAATGAGATTTTAATGCATTTATGACTAGGTGTGTTTACCAGTAGTGAACAGCAGGAGTCAGTGCAGGCCAGTGTTAATCCAGAGCTCACTAAAAGAACCGATTCAAAAGAATGATTCGCTAACGAACCGAACAGAGATGGTTTAGCTATAAACTGAAGCTTTTCTATTTTTAGTTTAATTCATATACTCACAAAGTCTGCACATCGTCGTTTTAAAGGGTGTTTTACAGAGCATTTGACGTAACGTTAGTCAAACCGCCTTAAAAATCATAATAAATGAACGGGGCCTCCCTCAAACAATAACGTTGGTAAGTAAACAGAATCTTTCTATCATTTTGTTCATGACAGGGTTTCCCTATTTGTATTGTACAACCAATAAACACCTAGTATTTTGGTGGAAACTGGCCCATGTGTGCTATATGGAGTCGCTCATGACTCGATTAGCTCAATATTGTCTCTGATTCTGAGGCTGATGATTGCAGATCCATGAGACAGACTTGAACTCCTGTTTTTATTGTCTCACAGTAATATAACCCGCTCTAAGCCTGTCATAACATATGGCTCCATGCAGGATCTGGATAGTTTATGGCCTGCAGGTCTGCTTTTCTCATACAGGTGATGTGAGAAGAGTTGCAGGCGTGCACCAATAACTCATTACAGCAGACAACCGAAGTGAAACGAATCAGAATGGATTGACTTTCAGTTTTAATAAAATAAATACTGTCTGTGTTCATGGTAACACTTATGTAGAACTTAAGTGTCTGTAACAAATGCAAACAGTATACAAAAACATGTGATTTTATAGCATAAAACGGATAGGTTATATTGTATACTTTGAAGATTATCACCTGTTATAATACATCTACAGTATATCATGCACTGCATTTTGGACCTGAAATCAATAGAGTTTCGTGTGTCTGGAATGGATAGGCCATATTTTTTAAATTGATTTATAATTACACAAATTACAATCTGTTATGTAAACAAATCCACTATTCAAATTGTATTTGTTGTACATTTATGCATTGTATTACAGTATTTTTTTGTAATGGATAATGATGCAAAATACACACACACACACACACACACACACTCACACAAAAATATATAATTGTGGGGTTAAATGTGCGTAATTGTCGTGAACATTAATGCATGCAAAAAGTATGTAATGTCATCATCATCACTATTAATGCCCCACTATTGTAAACTGCATCCTTAAGCTCTGGAAAGACGTATTATTAAATGTATTATTATTATTAAAAATATGCATTTTGTTTATGCAAAATATTGCATTCATTGCAATATGCTTTTGTTCTTTTACTTTGTGATTTTAGATGAAATAGGCATGCATTTCCTTCTCATTCAGCCTAGAGTTTGTTGATGTCTCAGTCTTTTGTGAGGTAAGTCATCACCATGAGTGAAATTATAAGACACCCATATAATAAAACACATACCGGCTCAGCCCAGACTTTAGTCATCCGCACGTAAAACAGACAGACATGCCTGTTAGCACCTGTGGGTGACAGCGGCTCGTGACTCATATGAGTAGGCAACGGGTCCATCTGGAAGATCCCCGCACAAACACATTTGCCTTTTACCTTACAAACACAGAACCGCCTCAGGCCAGGTGTAGGTTCCCATGATACAGAGACACACACAGACACAAATACAATTACTACGGTGAACAAATGCTAGCTGTGACAGAGGGAAGTGTTGACCTCCTCACCTGAGCTTCTTCTCTGATGTGGCACAATTGCCCATTTGTTATCGTTTGATGTCTGAGTAAAATGCAACAGGACTATACTCTTTAGTGGCTTTCCTTTCAAATAAGCTTTGGCTGTGATTTTTTTTTTTTAGGGAATAGCTGAACGTGGGAAGAAAATGCGTTGGTTATTTATGCAGCCAAGCCTCTAGGCCACAGGATACGCGTCCTGAGAAACTCTCAGCTGTGCTTTTCTGCTTGTTCATAGATTTCAGGAGATTACCGGCACTTTCATCCCCGCATAATGCTTTACAGAAATTTTAGAAGTGTGGGGAAAGTTAAATAGCCTAGAGGTGCTTATGAATATGCTTTCCCATGAATCAAAAATAAATTAAGATTTTCATATTAAAAGAGAGGGAAAATTGGTTCTGAGAATGAATTTTGAGCCAATTTTAACATTATAAAATGGACCCATTCACACCAAGAAGCAACTATATTACTATGCACTGCACACCAAGTTCACTTTGAGATTAATTTTTGGTATGTTTCAGCTTACCTCAAAGGCATCCAAGATGTAGATGTCTTTGTTTCCGCAGTATTTTCAATTTTTAGGTCAAACCGTTTGTGTCTGTCAGTCATGTAATGGAGGTCTATGGTCACCACCTCAAAGAGCATGCACAGAGAAGTCCAAATTAAACATGATTTAATGACTCGTAAATGTAAGTACACACCTTGATGGCCTAAGACACGAAACAAGCGGTTTGTGTGAGAAAATGAACAGTATTTATATCGTTTTTACCTCTTGAACCACAGCCACAAAGCACCCGCGCCCTCAGATCAGTTGGACGTGGCTGTGGTTACAAGAGGTAAAAACGATATAAATACTGTTCGTTTTCTCACACAAACCGCTCGTTTCGTGTCTTAGGCCATCAATGTGTACTTACATTTACGAGTCATTAAATCATGTTTAATTTGGACTTCTCTGTGCATGCTCTTTGAGGTGGTGACCATAGACCTCCATTATATGACTGACATATCCATATTGACCTAAAAATATCAAAATTGAAACTACTGCGGAAACAAAGACATATACATCTTGGATGCCCTAGAGGTAAGCTAAAACATACCAAAAATGTATTTCAAAGTGAACTATACCTTTAAATGTTTAAACTCTTAAAGCAGGATAGATTCTGATTGATCACCTGGAAAAGATTGTTCGGAAAGTGATGCAATATCCTTTCTTTAGTTGTGGTGTGGACTTTTCAAACTTGTTGGATTTTTAGTACTAATATATTTTTATTGTTTAAGTTATCGACCTTGATGCGAATGAGCCTTAAGACTAAGTTATTTACATAAATGAAGAGAGGAAGTTATAGGCTGAAGAACAACTTGCAAAAGTGCGAATTGGCACAAACATGTCCTGGAGAAAAAAACTCTCCTGAAGCCTCTGCTTCTCTGGAAAATGTGACCTAGTTTGCGTGCAAGGGACCCGACAACGTTTCAAATTGATTTCTCTGTATGTTATTAGTCCATTTTTCTGTCATGGACATCAGACTCAGGAATACGCTTCAAGGGAAGTGAATGGGAATCATGGGAGGCCAGCTTTTTCCCCATGACACTCGTTCACAAATCAATATTGATTTTGTTATTTGTGCATTGCCCATAAACATGAATATTGATGTGCTCTTATTACTTGGGCGCTTCGATCTGAAATATGTGTCAGGGTTGTCAAAAATTTTGAGTTAAAGGGTTAGTTCACCCAAAAATGAAAATTCTGTCAGTATTTATTTACTCACCCTCATGTTGTTCCAAACCTCTATGTGTTTATTTGTTCTTCTATACACAAAGGAAGTTATTTGGAAGAATGTTTTAATCAAACAGATCTCATTCCCCATTGACTACCATAGTAGGAAAAAATACATACTATGGTAGTCAATGGGGAATGAGATCTGTTTGAAATCTTCATTTGTGTTCAGCAGAATAAATAAACACATAGAGGTTTGGAACAACATGAGGGTAAGTAAATACTGACAGAATTTTCATTTTTGGGTGAACTAACCCTTTAAGGTTCAGTCATTGAAATAAAGCTAAAATAATATTAGATGGAAAACTCAAACCTAGACACTGAAATAGGCTAAATAATTTTGAGCCCTAAGTACTAAAATGATTAAAACAAAAGTAAATTATTAAAAATTAAGAAATATAAAAAATGAAATAGTATATAAATAATACTGAGATGTTCGTGAATTGTTGCATTTTCTGAATTAAAACAACAGTAGAGCAGGAGGATCTAATGGCATGTGCATTTTTGTGCAAAGCATGTTTAAGGCCTTACATGTGAGCATTGTTAGCAGGTACTGCATGTGTTAAAGTTTGTTGTGTGTTTGTTTACTGTATTTCAGGATAAGAGTGTGTCTTTGACCCTTCTCCCCACTGCTTCAAATCCACGCTGGTGTCCTTTTACTGTTTCTACAGCTGTTTGGGATGTTGTCTTTACTTTGCACCCGTGCTGCTAATATAGCTTTAAATCCCCTTCCCCCGGTTCCCTACAATCCTCTAAGAGTCAGAATGAGACCTAGGACAGCATGAGTCTCACTAGTGACAAGACTAGTGGCCATTTCTATAACACCAAAGGACAGGATAAAACTGAGTAATAATCCCAAACCAGTGACATAAATAAACTTCCCCCCTTTAAATTTATTCCAGGGGTATTCTATTACCATTTTACACTTTTGAAAAAACTTTTGCTGATAATTTACTCACCCCCATGTCATCCAAGATGTCCACGTCTTTCTTTCTTCAGTCGAAAAGAAATTAAGGTTTTTGATGAAAACATTCCAGGATTTTTTCTCCATATAATGGACTTCAATGGGAACCAAACGGTTCAAGGTCCAAATGAGAGTTTCAGTGCAAACTGCAAAATGTCCAAAGGGCTTTAAACGATTCCAGATGACGAATAAGGGTCTTATCAAGCGAAACGATCGCTCATTTAAAAAATAAATAACAAAGTTTAAGTTTTATAAGCTCAAATGCTCGCCTTGCTCTGTTCTGGGATGCGCTTTCATGACTCCTGTTCGAACTTGTTCATCAAAATGAACAAATCTTTTTCTGAGTCAATTCATTCGTTTTGTTCGTTGAATGAACCAATTCACTCGGAAAAAGATTTGCTCATTTTGATGAACGAGTTCGAACAGGAGAGTCACGAACGCGCATCACAGAACAGAGCAAGGCGACCATTTGAGCTTATAAAACTTAAACTTGTTTTTTTATTATTAAATGAGCGATCGTTTTGCTTGATAAGACTCTTATTCATCATCTGGAATCGTTTAAAGCCCTTTGAACAGTTTGCACTGAAAGTGTCTTTTGGACCTTGAACCGTTTGGTTCCCATTGAAGTCCATTATATGGAGAAAAATGCTGGAATGTTTTCATCAAAAACCTTAATTTCTTTTCGACTGAAGAAAGAGAGACACGGACATCTTGGATGACATGGGGGTGAGTAAATTATCAGCAAAAGTTACTTCTTTAATCTCAAACTTTGCAAGCCTTTTTAATATATTCAATAAATGCAGTTTGAATAATAAGACACTAGTGCTGATACCAATCAAATCTTCACTGTCATTCATAAATCCTCTCCCTCATAGGATCGTAAAGTGAATATGTCCGGAAGTAGTCAGTCTTATCTGGGACTCTTTTATAAATACTGTGAATTCAGACATACTTCTTTTGCCACGTACAGTTTTGCACCTACTTTATATCAGGGATGTATGCGATTCTGGAGGCAGCCGTTGATTTACTCATTCAACTGATTCGTTTGATTGAGAATCGTTTAGGAACGAGGCGAGTTATGAAGCGCTGAATGAAACTTTCGCCCCTGTGTGTTGATTGGAGATGCAACTGTTGCGGCTTTGTTTGGATTTTTGATTTTCTTTTTTGCAAAATACGGTAAAACATTCTATATGTACTTCATTTAATATAAACTTTAACACTATTTATTACCATTGGATACAGCTATACATATAAAATAGTGATGATCCTAAAAGGAGAACAATGGCTTGGCATTGGATATGGCATTTGAAACCAGGCTGAAAGACTTCTTTATGCTTATATACACCGTACTCGGCAGTGCCTGGCGCTGCACGGCCTTTAACAGAAGGAAGATCTCAACTATCCGCCTCTATTTTCACCTATCCCATAATCTGCTTAGGGTCAAGCATCCCCTCCTGTCCGGCCTGTCAGCAACAAGTCATTACAAACAGAGTTCCTCATGACATTCCTCTGTGTGTGTTTGCAAGCTCAGCAGTGAGTTAGGGTTACTTTGATATGAAAATCACCTTAGGATGTGTACAGTATTTAAAATAGTTCACATCTGAAATACTCAGTAGAAATCGCCATAATTAGCCATTTATGTCCAGGTGTGTGACAGCGCCTCCGGCGACAGCAGCCTGTTGTTTGTGTCGTGGTCAGATTAGATTGAGATAACAGCTCTTTTTTCCCGATGTGGCTGGCGTGATTGACTTAGAGCTTTTAAGTGTTTGTGGTGTTTTCCCCCACGGGGTAACTGACCCTGAAGTAATACACACAGAGCTCGGTTTAGCTGTTCAAAGGTTTACTTCAATAACCCTTAGAACAACTTAAAGAACATATTGCAGGTAAAAAAAATCTACATTTATAGATAACCTTGTCTGAAAATACCATATGAAAAGTTAATTCAGCTTTTAAAATGTTTTATAACAACACAAGGTTACTAATTTAGATAAAGCGAGCATTTATTCATCGTCTGGTGTCGTTTAAAGCCCTTTGAAGCTGCACTGAAACTCTCATTTGGACCTTGAACCGTTTGATAAGTCCATTATATGGAGGAAATCCTGGAATGTTTTCATCAAAAACCTTAATTTCTTTTCAACTGAAGAAAGAAAGACGTGGACATCTTGGATGACATGTGGGTGAGTAAATTATCAGCTAAAGTTTTTTTTTTTTATTAAAGTGAACTACTCTTTTAACCTGCTGTTTTATGTCGTTTTAAACCCACAATATGTTGCTTAATTATTATTGTTGGCAATAAATCTAACGTATGCTATTTAGCTATTTGTTTTAAACGACTTTGCTTCAATAGGCCCATACACAATCATGTGCATTTCCATATGAATTAGTTCAGTTAAAAAATAATAAAAATCCTGATATATTTTGGAAATATGAAGGGGAGATTTTGGGCTGGCTGTTTGGTAATCATGCTTTTGCTCTGGCAAAATTTATAGAAAAAGCCTGGTGTTTACGGCAAAGTATTCTGCATCCCGTATGATATCCCGTATGTCATGTATATTTATTTTGATGGTTTAGTTATATTATGCTGGAGATTCTGCCTTATATCACGTGGCTATTTTGGTGATATGTGTGAAGCTGTTGTGTCTAATAAGCCCACGAGGGCTGGGCACCATAAAAGGTGTTTGACACGTAAATAAACAATTCAATCAATCGATCAAAAAATCCATATTGCCTAAGGTGTGTCGCGCAAACGATGGGTATTTGTGAAACTAATGAAAGCAAAGCCTCATTTCTCTACAGGATATTAGTTGCAATGAATTCTTACTCAGACTGCTAATGAATTCCTGCAAGCTTGTTGCTTAGTGCCTACATATAGGCTGGATGGTTATATTAAACTCTATTTTTAAATGTAAGCATGCATTGTCCAAGTGTGATTTTTAAAATCAAGTTTCTTAAAAGTAAGCACAATTATCATGCATATATTTTAGTATGTACCTTCTTTATGGAGCATGTCTTGGTTTTGGAATAGAGCTGATGTCTATCTCATTATACAGGGCAAATGGACCACATTTTGAAGAGCGAATCAGCTGTTTCGCCCTGCCACAGTTAAAAGGTAAAATCTCATTTATCATGGCCCAAATGGCACCATTATACAATTGTAAACATGTTCCGATTGTGAAGCGTGTTGCTCTAGCTGTCTGCCATCAGGGGGTTTGCTCTGGTGAAGCTGTGTGAGGGATGCGCTCCTGTGTCACGCTGACCAGGGTTAAATACAGAACTGCTCACCCCAAAAACTGTGGGCGAGGTCACACCCCAACGAGTCTTTGATGCGTCTTTGCTCATTTGAGCGCTGCAGATTCAAGCAGGGACACACATGTGCACACAAACAAACACAGATGGTCTTTTCCCTTGGAAAACATATGGACTTTTTCCAGGTCTTGGAGCTAAACGGGCTGATTCCCCCTATCTCCTGGCCATCTGATTTAACCTTTCCAGAAGTACCTGATCCCCCAGAGTAAAACCCTTAAAGCCCAGCGTGACCGGCCTCTAGACTGTGGGAACTGTACTGTTGACTCTTGCCCCATAAAAACTGCTTGCAATTACAGAGAAGGACAACCAGATGTAATGAGAGGAAGTGCAACGGCCCATCACTGCCCAGTGCTTTATAATCAAACTCGGCAGACTTTGAGGTGAGTGGGAATGGGTGATAGCATTTATTTGCTTTTTGATTCCATTACATGTATGAAGGCTGACATCGCTTTATATAGTATATTGCTAAAGTGTTGAGGATTAGGGCCAAGCAATAATAAAAAAAATAAAACCTTCTCGAGATTAAAGTCACTATAATGCGAGATTAAACTTTGAGAATAAAGTCGAAATACAATCTTGAGAATAAACTCATTAAATATCGAGAATAAAGCCGCTGTGTTTCGAGAAAAAACTCGTTAAATTTCAAGAAAAAAAGTCAAAATACAATCTTGAGAATAAACTCAGTAAATATCGAGAATAAAGTTGTTGTGTTACGAGAAAAAAAGTCGAAATGAAATGTTTATTCTAACGATTGTTTCGACTTTTTTCTTGAAATTTAATGAGTTTTTTTCTCGAAACACAACTACTTTATTCTCGAAATTTAACACGTTTTTTTTCTCGAAACACAACGAATTTATTCTCGAAATTTAACACGTTTTTTTCTCAAAACGCAACAACTTTATTCTCGAAATTTAACGATTTTTTTTCTCAAAATGCAACGACTTTTTTCTCGAAATTTAACGATTTTTTTTTCTCGAAACACAACTACTTTATTCTCGAAATTTAACACGTTTTTTTCTTGAAACACAACGACTTTATTCTCGAAATTTAACAAGTTTTTTTTCTCGAAACACGACTTTATTCTTGAAATTTAACGAGTTTTTTTTCTTGAAACACAACGACTTTATTCTCGAAATTTAACGAGTTTTTTTTCTTGAAACACAACGACTTTATTCTCGAAATTTAACAAGTTTTTTTTTCTTGAAACACAACGACTTTATTCTCGAAATTTAACAAGTTTTTTTTTCTTGAAACACAACGAATTTATTCTCGAAATTTAACAAGTTTTTTTTTCTTGAAACACAACGACTTTATTCTCAAAATTTAACAATTTTTTTTTCTCAAAACGCAACAACTTTATTCTCGAAATGTAACGATTTTTTTTCTCAAAATGCAACGACTTTTTTCTCGAAATTTAACGATTTTTTTTCTCGAAACACAACTACTTTATTCTCGAAATTTAACAAGTTTTTTTCTTGAAACACAACGACTTTATTCTCGAAATTTAACAAGTTTTTTTTCTCGAAACACAACGACTTTATTCTTGAAATTTATTGAGTTTTTTTTCTTGAAACACAACGACTTTATTCTCGAAATTTAACAAGTTTTTTTTCTTGAAACACAACGACTTTATTCTCAAAATTTAACAATTTTTTTTTTTCTCAAAACGCAACAACTTTATTCTCGAAATGTAACGATTTTTTTTCTCAAAATGCAACGACTTTTTTCTCGAAATTTAATGATTTTTTTTCTCGAAACACAACTACTTTATTCTCGAAATTTAACAAGTTTTTTTCTTGAAACACAACGACTTTATTCTCGAAATTTAACAAGTTTTTTTTCTCGAAACACAACGACTTTATTCTTGAAATTTAACGAGTTTTTTTTCTCGAAACACAACGACTTTATTCTCGAAATTTAACAAGTTTTTTTTCTTGAAACACAACGACTTTATTCTCGAAATTTAACAAGTTTTTTTTTCTTGAAACACAACGACTTTATTCTCGAAATTTAACACGTTTTTTTTTCTTGAAACACAACGACTTTATTCTCGAAATTTAACAAGTTTTTTTTTCTTGAAACACAACGACTTTATTCTCAAAATTTAACAAGTTTTTTTTTCTTGAAACACAACGAATTTATTCTCGAAATTTAACAAGTTTTTTTTTCTCGAAACACAACGACTTTATTCTTGAAATTTAACGAGTTTTTTTTCTTGAAACACAACACTTTATTCTCGAAATTTAACAAGTTTTTTTTCTCGAAACACAACGACTTTATTCTTGAAATTTAACGAGTTTTTTTTTCTTGAAACAAAACGACTTTTTTCTCGAAATTTAACGAGTTTTTTTCTCAAAACGCAACGACTTTATTCTCGAAATTTAACACGTTTTTTTTCTCGAAACACAAACGACTTTGTTCTCGAAATTTAACGAGTTTTTTTCTCAAAATGCAACGACTTTATTTTTGAAATATAACGAGGTTATTTTTCTCGAAACACAAACGACTTTATTCTCAATATTTAATGAGTTTATTCTCAAGATTGTATTTCGACTCTTCTTCTTGAAATGTAACTAGTTTAATCTCGAGATGATTTTATTTTTTTATTATAGCTTGGCCCTAATCCTCTTCCGTAGATACCTATTTTAAATTTAAAGTAATTTTGGGGGGGGGGGAAATTTGGAAATTAAATCCATTTAACATAAAAAAAACACAATTTGATTATTGTAATATTTTAATTGAATACATTTTTACGATAATTATACATCATGGTCAGTCCTTTAACTTCATATCATAAGATTCAACTTCGAAGCTTGATATGCGCAAATTGTCATGCTAAATAAATAAAAGCATTAGTAAAAGAATCTCACAATTCTTTCCGTTTAACAGTACCGTAAGTCTATTTTTGGTGAAAGAAAGATAGTACTTTTTATTAATTAAGTACTAATTAAATTAATCAAAAGTGACAGTTAAAATATTTATAATGTTGCAAAATATTTTTTATCTCAAATAAAGGCTGTTTTGAACTTTGAAGAGCACATTTATTAAAATGATTTCTGAAGCTCTACTACGCACATCATGTTAATCAAAGCAATAAGTTTGAAAACAGTCGTTGCATTTGACCGTGCATGGTCATGGTCGGACATGGAGATGATGCCTTGAGCCCTCGTGACTGCGCTACCGGCCTGAAAGCTCTTTTACCAAGATGCCTTTTGAATCTCCATCATTGTACATGAAACATTTGCTCATATGTTTTGAGAAAAAAAGCAAATCTAGCTTGAAACAGTTTGGAAAAGAAGGAGGAATGGCATTTGAAATAATGTGTTCATGGTTTAGTACACTTGAAAACGTATATTGCGTTGAACATGGAATAAACATGGCACAGCTGTTGGCCTGATGTTTTGCCTCAGTGTAATTCGATCACTTCACCGACGGCAGCACTCGATCACAGACCTGCACGTTCATCCGCCTGGTAGCAGAGATCATTAATTTTTTTACAATCAGGGATCATATTGATTTACAGCAAACATGAAACACGGTAATGTGATGGATTTATTTGTAATGAAATTTCCTTGTTAATTTGCATGGAGAGCTTATACACAAACTTTAACAAGATGGCAGTGGGTCACTTGTACAGAGACGTTAAGCATCACATTACTGTCGAGACCTTTTACCCTCAATAACACGAGAGTGTGTGTGAGATCTTACTGACTGTAGACTCTCCATCACAGCTTTCCTTTCTCCAGATTCACAGCTCCAAACTCTCTCCGTTATTGCTTTTGTTGGTCCTGTTGGTGTGTGTGTCTCTGCAGCATGTTGTAAATGTGTCTTTTTGAGTAACATTTGTAGATATATATATATATATACAGTATATATATATATATATATATATATATATATATATATATATATATATATACGATATGAATAATATTAAAATAGAATAAAAATCAATGTCAGATTTAATAAAGATGGATAGATAGATAGATAGATAGATAGATGGATGGATGGATGGATGGATGGATGGATGGATAGATAGATAGATAGATAGATAGATAGATAGATAGATAGATAGATAGATAGATAGATAGATAGATAGATAGATAGATAGATAGATAGATAGATAGATAGATAGATGGATGGATGGATGGATGGATAGATAGATGGGTAGATAGATAGATGGGTAGATAGATGGATGGATGGGTGGATAGATAGATGGATGGGTGGATAGATAGATGGATGGATGGATAGATAGATGGATGGATGGGTGGATAGATAGATAGATGGATGGATGGGTGGATAGATAGATGGATGGATGGGTGGATAGATAGATGGGTAGATGGATAGATAGATAGATGGGTAGATAGATGGATGGATGGGTGGATAGATAGATGGATGGATAGATAGATAGATAGATAGATAGATAGATAGATAGATAGATAGATAGATAGATAGATAGATAGATAGATAGATAGATAGATAGATAGATAGATAGATGGGTGGATAGATAGATAGATGGATGGATGGGTAGATAGATGGATAGATAGATAGATAGATAGATAGATAGATAGATAGATAGATAGATAGATAGATAGATAGATAGATAGATAGATAGATAGATAGATAGATGGATGGATGGATGGATGGATGGGTGGATGGATGGATGGATGGATGGGTGGATAGATAGATAGATGGATGGATGGGTGGATAGATAGATGGATGGGTGGATAGATATATAGATGGATGGGTGGATAGATAGATAGATAGATAGATAGATAGATAGATAGACAGATAGATGGGTGGATAGATAGATGGATGGGTGGATAGATAGATAGATGGATGGATGGGTGGATAGATATATAGATGGATGGGTGGATAGATAGATAGATAGATAGACAGATGGATGGGTGGATAGATAGATGGATGGGTGGATAGATAGATAGATGGATGGATGGGTGGATAGATAAATAGATAGATAGATGTCAGGTATAACAGATATTCAGGTTTATATCTAAATAAAAAATACACATATATTTCATTCATAGAAAAATGTGTAATTGTATTTCAGTGAGACTGAGGGGTGAATTAGTTTTTATTCACATATTTCATTATAAATAGTCAAAAAATCTAACGCTGTGAGCTGCCAAACCTAAAATAGAAAAAAAGGGCCAACTTCTGTCATGTTTACCTGTGATTTTCCACCAAACACTTTCTGACCTTCACTCTCAGGTCCCGATGTCAGGAGGTCATAAAAAGAGCCGTAATTCACATGTTCCCACTGAGCCTTTCTCTCTCTCTCTCTCTCTCTCTCTCTCTTTCTCTGACCCCACAGAAGGAAGGTTACGCCTGAGAGACTGAAGTGAAAAGCCCTGTCCTCTGATTTATGACCTTCTGCTGCCATCGGATCTTCTCCTGCACCGAAACAGACCCTCCCAGAAACCCCCAAGAGTTTTAGGTTTCCAAAGCCCATCGAAGTAAGTTGCGAAGCTTTCACACACGTGCAACGGTTGCCATGAGTTTGGGAACTTAATTTAACACTGGTAAACTATTTGAATATGGCCATTTTAGGTTAAAACACACTACTGTTATCAAAGATTTTAAATAAATGCTGTTCTTTTGAACATTGTATTCATCAAAGAATCTTAAATTATTACAGTTTCTACAAAAATATGAAGCAGAATAACTGTTTTCAAGATTGGTAATGATAAGAAGAAATGATTTCTGAAGGATCATGTGACTCTGAATCTAGAGTAATGATGCTGAACATTCTGCTTTTGAATTACATTTTACAATTCAGTAGAAAACAGCTATTTTTAAATAATATTTCACAATATTTTTGTTTTTACTATATTTGATGAAATTAAGGCAAGCTTGGTGAGACCGCTTTCAAAATACATTTTAAAATCTTACCAATCCCACATTTTTGAATGGTTTTGAATATATGCATAAAAAGCAGTACCATTTATTTAGTTCTTATGAAAGTCAAGACTATAATGTGTCCAATACAAAATAAAAAGCTACATGCGCTCGTGGTTCCTGAGGATGTTTTCTCTATAAAACACCTCTTTTTATGTCTCTGCATGTCTGTATTTCTTCCTGTGGTAATTCTGTGCTCTGTTTAGCATGGTTATTTTACTCCTCCACAACACTACAACACCATTATCATGCATTATTTTCATCTGGATTGTTTTAGCTGTCTCGCGACGGCCGTCGTCATCCTGTCGCGGTGTGTTTATGCCGGAGGAGGGACGGATCACTCCGGCCTGTTCTCCGTCCTGACTCATGCACGGCTCTGGCAGATTGGAGCTGCTGGCCCAGAAGAATTAGGCCAGATTTGCCACACTTCACAACCCTGATGCACATTCCCTCCAAATGCATGAGGGCGATTGTGAACAGAGTCTCATTATACCACCGTGGCACAATGAGAGTGGAAATCTTGGCACGCTCCTTCCTCACAAGCCTTTTCAGACAGAGTTCAGATGTGTGTAGTCTTCGTCTGATGAATGCGTTGTAGGCTCCTCTGACTGTGTAATTGTGCTTTTACAGTGCGTACGAGACCACCCACGACACCACAGCATCAAGACCTAAACTTACCCAAAACATCATCACTGTTCTTCTGCACACAGGAAAATGCAAATCTACATTTTCACCTGCTTTAGTTTTTTTTCAAGGAAACACATTTCTTCTGCTTTTTAAACAAACGCAACATGAATGTGAGTGTATCAGCTGTGTGCACTACTATATAAGCATTACTATATCAGGCATGTTTGATGCAAGTTAAACTTGGGGAGTTTTGTACTCTTTATTGTAATTATTTCATATTATAAGTACAAATAACATTATATTTCTTCATCTTTTTCATTTTTTTTTAAATTAAGCAATAATTTATGCTTTCGTTGATGGCACAAGTCAGTATGTTTTCAATTTGTATATATTTAAATATTTTGCAATAAACACCAAATATATTGTTACTTACACAATTATACTGTATAAAATAGTCTTATATTGTAGGGATGGATGGATGGATGGATAGATAGAAAGACAGACAGATATATGGATAGATAGATAGATAGATAGATAGATAGATAGATAGATAGATAGATAGATAGATAGATAGATAGATAGATAGACATGCAAATATATGGATAAATAGACAAGACAGATAGATAAATAGACAGACAGACAGACATGCAGATATATGAATAAATAGACAGACAGATAGATGGATAGATTCATAGATAGACAGACAGACAGATATATAGATAAATAGATAGAAAGAAAGACAGAAAAACAGATAGATAGACAGACAGACAGATAAATAGACAGACAGACATGCAGATATATTGATAAATAGACAGATAGATGGATAGATTCATAGATAAACAGACAGACAGATGTATAGATAGATATATAGATAAGATAGATAGATAGATAGACAGATAGATATATAGACAGACAGACAGATAAATAGACAGACAGACAGACATGCAGATATATGGATAAATAGACAGACAGATAGATGGATAGATTCATAGATAAACAGACAGACAGATATATAGATAGACAGATATATAGATAAGATAGATAGACAGATAGATATATAGATAGACAGACAGATATATAGATAGATAGATAGATAGATAGATAGATAGATAGATAGACAGATAGATATATAGATAGACAGACAGATATATAGATAGATAGATAGATAGATAGATAGATAGATAGATAGATAGATAGATAGATAGATAGATAGATAGATAGATAGATAGATAGATAGATAGACATAGATATATACTTATAGATAGACTTGTATAGATATACAAAGTTCTGGCATGAAACTCTAGATGGCTCAGGCTAATAGGTTCTTTTACTCACTTGTTCATTATCGCATCGCTATCAATAGGGCACAGCTGATTGGTTCCTGCCGTACCAGTAGCCAATGAGCTCTCTGCTCGAGCATTTCGCTTAGCAGTGCAGTGCGCATTCAGAAACCCTCCACCTTCCCCAGCTCCACTGTACCTCCACAGACAGATACACTATATAGGCAGGCAGATATAGATAGATTTAGTATATAAATTTTAGCTTTGGCTAAAATGCACCACTGACATGATAAAGTCAGGGGACCGAGACTAGGATCGCAAACATGATCTCTCGACCCGTCCCGTCCCCCACAGCAGCTGCCCGAGGGTGACGTCTGTGTACGAGGGAGGAGAGGAGTTGTTTGATAACCAAACGTGTTAAAAAAACTGTATGGACAGGACCAAAAACAGGATGCACAGCAGGCTAGAGTGTGTGGATGTCAGGAAGACGACTGCTGTTTCATTCACACATGTATCTAACGGAAGAGAGGAAAGAGAGAGGTGGGGAGGAAGATGGTAACCTGATCAGCCCGGCATGGTAGAAAAAACTTATTTTTGTGTTTCTACCCTCAGAAATCCCAACACACATGATGTATGTTTATTCACTGCCCAAAAGTGTTTTTAAGAAGCTAGTGATTGTGCTCGTCACATTTATGCATGTCTTGTTTTTATTTTATTTATTTTTTAATCTGGTAAAAGTGATGCAATAAAAATGGACCCTATTCACCTTAACATGTTCCTGGTCTTACTGTGCACAATTTATTGGTGTATTTTATATAATAATAATTAATAATAATAATAATGAAATTGTCTTCAAAATCTTTCATTTAAATGTTAAAATTGCACCATTTCTGAAATGACTTTTCTTTTTGGATGTAAGTCATGACGCTCTTTTAGTTCTCAGCTCATCCCCTCCAAACACCTGAATCCATTTTTATATGTAAACGACCACTTTTGATCGTCCAATCAAATCCTGTTGGGAAATAAAACAAGTCCCGCCCCTAAATTTTTCACACTGAATATCCTGTTTAACTTGGAAATGCCACGTTATGTAAGTAAAATGGGTTGCAAAGAGCTTTTATCCATGTTGATGTGGTGCATTGGTGTAGCTTATTTTCACAGAAGTGTATATGCTTTCAGAATAACAGCACTTGAGCCTCAGCCTGGAGAGAGACGTGAGTAGCAGGATTTTACTGAGGTGAGATTCAAACGAGTCGAGGAGTGGTTCAAAATAAGTTCCCATTTTGCACAAAAGTTGTTTAGCAACTGAGTTTGTGTGTTTTTAACAACATTGAAGACTAGAAAGAAATCTAAGACTGACAAGTGTGTAATCATCAGCTCTGTACTAGCATGCAGCTCTCACTTTGATTTATAGCATTACACAGTTGGACCGGGCAATCATTTTTATTTCCAATGACATCATCGACAGGGTTTCCTCACCTTCCACACTTCTCTCTAGTTCGGGAAATATGACACAACCCACGCAAGCTTTTGTCTGTGATTACTGAATAATGATTTAAAATATTAATCTTACAGAGACTGCACTTACCGAGAGGAATTTCTAATTTCTTACCGAGGTCAATAATATATATTTTTAAATAATTAATATTTTTATTTTAAATTGATCGAAAAGCGACAATATAAAATGACAATAAAAAAAGAAAATGAATTCAATGCTGTTTTTTTAAACCATTCATCAGAGAATCCTGAAAAAAATATAAATACGTTTTCAGCATTGATAATCATAAATGTTTCTTGAGCAGCAACTCAGCATGCTAGATTGATTTCTGAAGGATCACGTGACACTGAAGACTGTAGTAGAGTAATACTGCTGAAAATGCAGCTTTGATAACAGGAATAAATTGCATTTTAAAACATTCAAATAGAACAGTTTTTAAAATGGTAGCCTAATAATATTTTACAATATTACTGTTTTACTGTATTTTTGATGCCGCCTTGGTAAGCATAAAAGATAATATTTAAAAAATATTACAAACATTCATATTTTATGTAGATATTTCCAGCATACAACATAATTATCTAACACAAAACACAACCAGCTCCAGTCATTCAGAAATAGGACTTTATTTGAATTTTATCTGCAATATCTCTTTGGGTTGAAATCTAAATTTTTCTTTATAGACACATATACAAACTTACATGAGGTGTAAACATACATGCAAGAGAGAGATTGCTCGGGAACACTGAATGCTTCTTGGACGCTGGGGATGAAAAAGTGTAGGAATTCTGAGAGGAAAGATCACAGTAGTTCCTCTGACCTGTGCATGCCGCAGCAGACCTTTGCTTCATTTATCAGTGGTCCCATAGAGACTGATTCATTACCACAAAGGAAAATCAGTGTCTGATTGATGTTTAGATGGGGAGGCGTGTTCAAAGGTCTCCGTCAATATGAGAACGCATCAGCATCTCCCACACTGGGAGTGAGAGTCTGCCCGTCTGATCTCTTGCTGTCATGTCTTCCTCTGCTTTGCTAAAATTGAACTTTACTGAACTTTTGTGAGTTTAACACCAAAGCAGCGTGACAAAGTGCATAATGAAGACTGCTTTGCCACAGGAACGGTCATTTGCATAAAAAAAATGGTTTTCCTTGAGTCAAATGTGCAACCAACCATTGGTTATCAAGTAACACCGATATTTACCAAACACAGGAATGGAATTGAGCAATTTAGGAGCAAAATAATGGCCGTTCAAAACCCTAGTGAGCTACTTGCATAGAGATGCCTGATTTTTAAACTTTTATAATGAATATTTGGAGCTACCTTGCTGTTTAGAGCAAAAAGACAATGCTTTGTGAAAAGTTTTTGCAAAAAATCGAATTACCGCTACATGCATCCTTCCCAAATAGGGTAATTGCATTTAGATTAGAACAGGGGGGGAATCTAATCTAATCTAAATATATAGTGTTCTCTACTGAAAATTATTGATACAAAATATGCTCTTTACGCCGCCTTCACACTGGCAGTTGAAATCAACTCCGTAATACGCAATACGTTCCCAACGGACGTCGTACTACACAGTGAAAAGCGTCGGACACGGGTAGAACAAAAATGGCGGAGAGAGAGAGATTAAAGTTTGATTCTGTTTTTTTTTATTATTTTTTTATCATTAAAGTTTGATTCTGTCAGTTCTGTATGATCTCTCTGATGATACGTTGACATGTCATGTCGGCTAAAATATGTGATATAGTGGTCAATAGTTCAATGTCTACCTTCAATTTAATTGTATTAACTGCCCTTATAAACGTTAGAAAGTCATGAAAATAAAAAATGACATGACGACTTATCGTTATAAAATCATAATTTATTGTATTAAAAGTTAATAATTCAGGTTTGTTTATCAGTACCATAGCAACGCTCAACTTCCGCTGGAATTGTCGGATAGGAACCGTCCGTAGCTTTTCGCACGAGTTCAAATTTTTGAACGCATCCGGATGACCAACGGACACGATTTTTTTCGCACCGCACTCGGTCGGACCCGCTTCGGACCCATTCGCATGCGGTCTGCGAATCTCCATAGGAAATGAATGACTTCCGGTCGTTTCGCAGCCGCATCGGAGCTGAATTCAACTGCCAGTGTGAAGGCGGCGTTAGATTGGCAACATGTTGATGTCAAACTCCGTGAGCATGATTCTCTCTAAGCAGCTCGATAAGGTTTAGAAACATATCGTACATCAGTTCACAGCACACATCTTTGGCACAAGTTAGTGAAACTTGCATATTCAGGACCTGCATATTTATTTGCACACACACAGACAGTGTTGAATCAAAGCAGTATATATAGCTCTCGCTCCGTCTCTCTTTATCCAAATCAGTGCATTAATATCCCCACAGGGGTGCTCTGTGTGTTTGTTCCAACGCCTGCGTTAAAGGAAAAAACTGCAACACAGAAACTAAACTGGGACATTTGGGAAATGAGGTACACATGGTTCATTTAACACTCATGCATTGGGTTTCCCAGCCCCAGAAAAAAAGCTTAGTGGTTTTCAGTGTCAAATCATCATCATCATCAGATGACATATTCTTTAAGTTACGCTCAACAAATAATTGTTTCTGAACTGAAGTAACAGGACGGATTCGTGTCTTTCTATATACAGAGAACAAGAGATGACATCACTATCGCGCCTATACCCTTATACAGTGCACTAAAAGATCAGAAACCATAGTGGACATTACTGAGTGCACTCATTCAATCCCACAATGCACTGCAGTAAGTGTACAACCGATATACACTCAACAGCTAGAGAATAGCCATGCAATGTGAGCGTAAGAGTCTTGCCGGAAGTTGGCGTCCACAGCAAAATTTGTTTACTTCCTTTCATTTTGATCCCTTTAAGTGGACTATAATATATGGAATAGTGAACGAGGGTATAAGGGGGCGATTTCGGACATAGCCACAGTGTAAGTCGTGACAAGAAGTAAAAGTAAACTAAATTTTTTTAGACTGGCAGTGAACAGCAAAACAAATCTCTTAAATACAAATACAAAGTCCCACATGAAATAAATACAGCACGGTTTTCCGTATTGGAACGCGGCTCCAAAAAAGTTTCAGTTCGGTTACCGTGATAATCAAACGGTAGACTCTTTAGGACCCTCTTGGGCTGCGTTCCTGCAGCCGTAGAGCCACTTTATGACCCGTGCATTTCTCTCAATAATTGAGACCCCTGTAGGGATCTGCTCGGCCAGTTCCTCCTGGAAAAGGAGGCCAGTTCCTCCTTCCCCGGAGTGTCGGGAAAACTCACTGGGCTCCGAGCCGCCGCCTCCGACGCTCCTCAGTAGCAGCGAGAGCGTGTCGATTGAACTGGCCCCTTTTAGAAAGTTCTTCGGTCCGATCCTCTCCACCATATCGAAGTCCAATCCGCAGTAGTCGAAGAAGCGTTCCTGCTCGGACATGGCTAGCGAGCAGCGTAGTCGTAATTCCGACTTGGACCGTTTCAAATCGGCCCGTATGCGAGGAATGACGGGCTTCCATGGATCCATGTCGTTATTGTTGGAGTTGCCCATAACGTTGATCTTAGATAGCTTCTCTTGAAAACCAGTGTTGTTGTTGTTTTGTGTCTCTGGCGTCGAGTGCTCTTGCTCGGATTTGCTCGATCGCCTGGTCTCGTTTCCACCGTCGACAGTGACTTTGTCATTGGACCAGGACATTCGAGAATCCCCGTCCCGAGAGGAAGACGCCTTCTCCTCGTTTATCACCAATTTCTGAGCCTCGTTCCGGTTGTTCTTTTCACGCATGGATCCCTGGAAGAGCCGTCGCACGAAACTGTAGCCCTTGACCTCCACGTTGGGGTTGCCGTTTTCGCCACCACTGCTGGGACTCCTGCACTCTTTCTTCTGTCTGTAAATGACCAGAGAGTCTGGACGCAACATGCGCTTGCCGTTACTCCTGCGCATAATTGGAGCACTATGTGGGGCGACTAATGGAGCAATGATTGGAGTTCTTGGGGAAGGTACAGGAGGCTTATTTGCGTTGTTGCGATTGTTGGTTTCCACATCAGTTTCATTCCGACAGTTCTCTTTCCTGGAGTCGTCCTCATTTTCATCCCTCACGAACTGAGGTGCGGAGAAAGGCGCCATTTGATTTCGAGGTGGGAGAACGGGAGTTGAAGGAGTGGACACAGTGAAGTTTCGACGGGGCACCGGTGGAGGGGTCGCACAGGGCACTAATACGGGCTCCTGCTTGGTGTTTATGACCTGTTGACTTTTGACGTACTTTGCCTTGTCCGCTTCCAGCCGCTCTACGGCGCTAATGGATCGGCCCCTGCTTCCGGCATCCATCTGCCTGCGAAGGTAATCTGGTCCCTTGTTTAGGAGCCGCAGCGGAGAAGGTGAACCAACGGGAGTTAAAGGCTTCATTTTAGAGTTATGGAAAAATGCATCCAAACAGAAAGGACAAAGCAATTGCTTTGCCCTACTAAGAGAAGGAAACCCTCTTGGAAACTACAGTTTCAATGCTTCTTCAAGATCTGAGGTGTATCCATTTATAAGCTCCCTATGAATGTGGATTTTTCCGCATTTTGAAAATCTGAGAATCTGGCTGTTGAGCTTTCGCTATATTTAGTCTCTTTACTGGACTCTTTTGGACAAGGGACAAATCTACATGCAGTACTTACACAGGCACTGGCATGAGGAAATCCTTTTTCTGCAGTCCAAAATCTCAAATGAGATGTTCCCTTCACCACAGAGTTTCAGAAATAGCCGTCGACGTTCGCTTCCCCCCTCTTGTTTGGTCCTCTTTAACTTCCCCCTTCTGTTGATCCTTTCAGAAAAGGTCGTCTTGGGGGAAGAGAGCTAATGAGCTTGATTATTTGCTTTTTGATAGTCGTCTAAGGTCTTTGGGTTGGGCTCCTATTGTCCTGCAATGTTCCGGTTGGGTTGACCTATACAGCTGGCACCAGGGCACTTCAGAATTGGATAGACAGAGGTCCTGTGCTTCTCCCTCTATACCTGGAGCCCTGTGAAAACAAAAATGGTAGAGACACAGTTCAGTCTTTTTAGGATTTCTCAAGGGAGATCTAATCTCCAAAGGCGTAGGCCATATGGCAGTGTGGATGGAAGTCCCTGTAGCTTTTTGTGATCCGATGCAGTTGGCAGAAATGCATGTCTGGGGCCACAGGCACTGCCATTAGCTCATGCATGGACTGAGTTGACTTCCCAATGCTTGAACTAGTCCTAAATAACCGTTCACTCGTACAAATGTGCTGTCCCGCACAAATTTAGCGTATTTAGCTCTGAATGGATATGCATAACGCATGACATACACAGTGAAGTCTGTATTGACATTATAATTTTGCTAGAGGAATTTTACCCATTTACCCTCAGATGCATTTAGAAAGTCTATTAAAGGAAACTGTGACCATGTGCATACAGACTGCAGAGGTAATGGCCTTCATCATCAGCATTAGCTTAACCCACATGCCACATTTGCATTCCTTAGGGGCTTTGCTAAATAATGCATGACTGCGTACATATTTTGCAGACCCCAAATTTCCTTTAAAGACGTAGTGGGACCACTTACTGTATTTAATTTGAACACACTGCAGTGGTTTTTACAACTCTACAAAACTCTGCATGTTTTACGGCTTACAGTGGTGGAATGTAACGAAGTACAAATACTTTGTTACTTTACTTAAGTACATTTTTCATGTATCTTTACTTTACTTAAGTAGAATAAATAGTGCATACTTTTTACTTTTACTTCGTTACATTTTGCAGCAATTATTATACTTTCTACTCCACTATATTTCTACAACTTCTGTTTACTGTTTTTCCCCTGCCAAAACGTAATCTGACCATCCGTTCGTTGCACGTTTGTCTCACCAGTGACGTTTGGTTGCCATAGATATATCAACCCGGTCACACTAAATGTGTCTCGCACGCAGTGTTTTTTTTGTGCAATTTATACGCAAAAATTTGTTTTTATGTGCATAGGAAACGCACCGTTTGGTTAGGATTATGGCAAGCCAAGAGGTTCAGAATTACACCATAAATTAATCGCGTTTACTGCCAAAGATAGTTATTAATATATAGTAAGGATAAGCATGATGTGCATATTGCCTAATTGCAAGCTTGTTTCAGAAATGGTGACAACAATTTTTTTCCATAATTATTGAACATCATTATTGGAGTATTAGGTGGAACGAGTTAGCATTAAATGTTTTATTAATCATTAGAAAAAAATAGACATGTTATGCAAGTACTTTTACTTTTAATACTTAAAGTACATTTAAAATCGGGTACTTTTTACTTAAGTATGGTTGTCATTGTGTTACTTCTACTTTTTCTAAAGTAAATATTTATCTGTTTATGTAATTTTACTTAAGTACTGAGATTCAGTAGCAGCAAAGCAAAAATTTTAGCTTAAAACTAGTTTGATGGCATGGTTGGTTCTGAAAGGGAAGACATTCAAAACATGATGCATCAAAGTGCTATTTTTGTACACCCTTGAAGGGACAAAAAAACAGCAATTTCAAGTGAATATGTCCCTGTGACCTAGTAAACAGGAAGAACTGCAGAACTTTGTTTCACTATGAAGAGTACTCATTTACTGCAACTAAAAACAGGTGTGCCCTGTTAAATTGCGAGCTCTACTTTTTTCAGTATTCAAACTTGGTTGTGAAAAAAAGCAAATCCACTACAAAGACAACAATCTGAAGGAGAAAAAATCCCTAAGATAAAAGAGAGCTCATGCACTTAAGATGACTTTCTACCCTATAAATATAGCGCCTCTCATGTACCTCGAACCCCCCCTGAAGCCCTTCGCTATAAATCCAGTCAAAAGGGGAACTGCAACATTTTCCAGATGTCAGACAGTCCCGGGAAAAGCAGCCATTGTTTGGGAAAGTTCCGGGAAAGAATTCTGAACAGGTGTTGAGCATGAGATGGATCTGGATTCAGAAAGTAATGAGCAACAGGGTGTCCAAACTCAGAAAACGGCACTAGTTTAGCCAGTTGGGTTGAGAAATATGGCTATTTTTCACCCTTTTGATTTTATGATATTCAAATATATATATGCTCTGAAATGGCTTAAAACTGATTTTATTAGATGAGCCATCAGTCAATTAGAAGCAAAAAAAAAGTTTTACAAAAATCTAAAATAACTTTATATGCAATGCATAATAATAAACTGCAATATCTTCCATTTTATATAGAGAAAAAAACTCCTAATACTGTGAAAATGTGTAAGTGTTGATTCAAATGAAACTAAATCATTAAAACAGACATTTTAACCAATTCATGGAAATTAATATAACTTATTAACTTTACTGTTCTTGCTGAAACTTAAAAGAGACACAACCCATTGTGAGTTGTGCATGATTAATAGTCAGAATAACCCGTCAGGTTAATGTAATTGAAATATGCTGCACAAACTACTGCACAGTAGTATGTTTCATATCTATCACACACTATTATGGGTCATATCTACATCACTCTCTCCACTCAAGGCCATTATTGGCTTGTAGAGGCATTACATCATTAATATAGATCTTTCCAAGCCAGCGTTAAAGCTATTTGAATGCTGGATCGTCGTGTTTAGGATGGAAACGGGGCTAATAATAGCCGAGCAGAGGCTTAAATTAAAACATGCTCTGAGGGATTTACTGACTGATAGAATAAATCGCTGGTAAATTCCCCTTCAGGCACCAAACATCCCCAAAACAGGGCCTAACAACTTTCTAAACAATACAATTATTATTTTTATTATGTAAATTAAAATGCACTTTTTGCACTTACCAATATGTAATAGGTTCAGTGATATGGAAGCTTGTTTCTGCCACAGAATTAAAAATAAAACAATTGCGAATTTACATCTCTCAATTCTGACTTTATTTCTGACTTTGATTTCTTTAATTGCGAGATATAGAGTCAGAATTGCGTGTTATAAAATCAGAATCGCGTGTTATAAAGTCAGAAATGCATGATATAAAGTCGCAATTGTGTGTTGTAACGTCAGAATTGTCAGATACAAAACAATATTTTTTTTTCCCTTAGAATTGGCCTGATAACTTGCAATTGCGAGTTTATATCTCAATTCTGAGAAAAGATGTCAGAATCTCGAGATGTAAACTCGCAATTATGTGTTAAGTCAGAATTGCGAGATGTAAACGTGCAATTATGAGAGTCAAAATTCTGAGTCTCAATTATGTCTTTTTTTCTCACAATTGCGACTTTATTTTTTTTTATAATTGAGACTTTCTCTCAATTGCGACTATTTTTTCAAAATTGCGACTTTATATCTCGCAATTGCGACTCTATTTCTCAGAATTGCGACTTTATATCTCGCAATTGCGACTATTTTTTCAAAATTGCGACTTTATATCTCGCAATTGCGACTCTATTTCTCAGAATTGCGACTTTATATCTCACAATTGCGACTTTTTTCAAAATTGCGACTTTATATCTCGCAATTGCGACTATTTCTCAGAATTGCGACTTTACATCTCGCAATTGCGACTATTTTTCAGAATTGCCACTTTATATCTCGCAATTGCGACTTTATTTCTCAGAATTACGACTTTATATCTCACAATTGCGACTATTTCTCAGAATTGTGACTTTATATCTCACAATTGTGACTTTATTTTTCAGAATTGCGACTTTATATCTTGCAATTGCGACTCTATTTCTCAGAATTGCGACTTTATATCTCACAATTGCGACTTTTTTCAAAATTGCGACTTTATATCTCGCAATTGCGACTATTTCTCAGAATTGCGACTTTATATCTCGCAATTGCGACTATTTCTCAGAATTGCCACTTTATATCTCGCAATTGCGACTTTATTTCTCAGAATTACGACTTTATATCTCACAATTGCGACTATTTCTCAGAATTGTGACTTTATATCTCACAATTGTGACTCTATTTCTCAGAATTGCGACTTTATATCTTGCAATTGCGACTTTATTTCTCAGAATTGCCACTTTATATCTTGCAATTGCGACTTAATTTCTCACAATTCTGACTTCATATCTCGCAATTGTGAGATAAAAAGTCGCTATTATTTGTTTTTTTATTCAGTGGTGGAAACAAGCTTCCATACAGCAAGTCGTGAGCTGATTCAAAGAAGAACTGAGAGGTGACTGATTCACACAGATGACTTCTGTCCTGCGATTGATCCAATATGAATCAGTTCAATTGATTCAATTGAAAGAATCGCATATTTGTTCATGAACTCGACATTCAAATCTCAAGCGCATAACTGACCTAAAACAAAGTGTGAGACTAACTGAAAATATGAAAATAAAGCTGCAGGATTTTGAATATTTAAAGAAAAGTTCCTGTTTGGCACTGAAGGTCAAAACATTACAGTTCACACCATCATCACCCAAAGCGTCTGCACCTTTACAATGGCCTCTATTACTCTCTATGGAGGCAAATTAGTGACATGAAACTGTCTGTGCTCCTCTCTCTCTTTTGAGGACTGAACTGCGCTGGTAATAGCAGCGGCTCGGCTCGCGACGGCTTGTAATTAACCCCTGCTAATCCTCCTCTCATCTCAATGGCTTTCAGTGAAGCTGGTGGGCAGGTCGTCTGCCGCAGGGGTGGTGAAAACCGGTGACCAACAAGGTCAAAGAGAACCCAGATGTTTTCTGTCAAACTGCATCTAAGCTATGATCTACTGAAGACTTCACACAAAGTAGGAACACAACCATACAAGGCCTCATTTCTGGTTGAATATCCTGAAATGTGTTCGATAATGGAAGGGAAATGATTCACAAACTGTTTAATGTTTAAAGCAACAAGTGTTGTTTGGTACAGTTTGCTGTAAACCAAACCTTAAATGGTTTTCATAATAGGACTGCTTGATTATGGCTAAAACAATCTATATATTATTCCAAAGGGGGAATCCCCAAAGAGGAACTGTTTATGTTAAAAAGTTTAATAATTATGGTTTTTTTTTTTCAGTTGGTTAGTATTTTTCAATTTTTATGTGAAAATTGTAGTAAAAAC